TAAAATCTTTATCACTCAGATCCTGAAAAAAAGCATCTCTTTCTCGAGCCATATATATTAAAGGCCCGAGGTTTTTTATGGTCTTAGGATCCCATGAGAGTGTATTCATTTTCTTCATCGAGTTAACAGCATCAATGCCCAACACAGCAACTTCCTGCTTGTCCTCACTCCTAGCAAGCTGATCAGCAAATTTAATTCCAGCCTCTAGCTTGCAAATACCTGTTTCAACGATATCCTTCTCAGCCCACAGTGTCTTAGAGAAGCCATTGTACTGTGTATCAACTTGTTGCAGGAGTGCCTCTTTACGTTTATCTAAGAGCTTGTGTAGCTCTTCAAATTGAGAGGTGATGAAAGATTTCATTTGATCAGGATAAACTGTAACATGTTTTTCAGCTTCGCCGATCTCCTTAGCATGGGAACGAAACTTAATAAGTTGAGCTGAAAGTTTCATGGACTCACACATCAAAGATGATTTTATTGTATCTGAAATGTCCACTATTCGTTTAAAATGGTGCCCATTGTGACCAAATATTGCACATTCTCGACACACAGCAACCTTACAACCAGTGCAGTAAACATCAAGAGACTCAGAGGGATGACGACAACACATGAATTTCTTTGATTTAGGTTTCAATATGGCCTGATGAGGAGGCACTACCAAGTGACTCTTAAAGGAGGCCATTCTTTTGTGCGCTTGATCGCAAAGCCTACAGAGATAGTTCTGACAGTTCTCACAAAAACTAAACACGTTTGCTTCTTCACATTCTCCACATGATAGCTGAGGAGCTGGCGGTAGAAAACATCCCAATTTAGAAGCCAATTGAGTATTAGGCATCAAATCATCTACTCCCATTTTAGAGTAAAGAATATGCTCATTACGACATAATGGACATTTTATGGTACGGAGATTAGACCTCTTTCCTCCCTGAACCTCAACTAGTTTTGACAGACATTGCTTACAAAAACTGTGAAGACAGGACAATAATCGAGGATCAGAATAGGTGGACTGGCACACAGCACAAATTAAATCTTCCACTTCAACTTTTATGATTTCTGCCTCAGAACCCTGTTCCCCTTTCGCTCCAGAGATACCAGTCTCATTTTCTCGAGGACGGACTATTGCCTTTGGAATAACTGGAACTTCTTTCGACGCCATCTTGTTATATCTCAACTCAACCATGATTATATAACTATTAACTACGTAGTTATAAAATCTATGACTCAACTCAATATGGACGTGACCCAATGGTCTGGCTAGCGAGACTACACCTTATCAATAATAATAATTATTAATTAATAATTCTTGACTTATTTATTCATTCCATATCAATAATAAATCTACATGCAAGAGTACAAGAATACAAGCAAAAAGAGGAGTCCAGGTAAAAAATCAAATAACAACTATATGACTGAATCTTCCGTCTACTATTTCTTATACCAACTTAATTTGGAGTGCAAGCTTATTTGCAGATTTTTGCTTCACAGGTGCTCTTACGTGACACAATAATACAATATCCAGGGGCGTA